AATCATGTTTTGTTTTTGTACTCGCCAAATGATCGCATCTCTGAAATCGGCTAAACTCACCAATATTCGTCTGGTCAAAAGGAAGTAGAGCCATCACCAGAGAGAGCCCACTGGCCTAGTATTAGCCTTAGCCAACACAATCTGGGCGCTAACTATCCTGATCAGGACCTGAAATTGGCAATGCCGACTCAATACTTGAGTTAAACTTCATCAGATCTAGTGCATGCCAGGCGGCAATCGCCGACTCTTGTCAGCTCTCCTTTGCCTTCTGCCTCTGTCGACCATATGCACGTCTCGTAGACTGTCATTGCCCCTCGAGCCAACTGATGTGATGTATTTCTTTTTTGCCCACCTTTTGCCATTCTGAATGCCCCTGTCACGCCGGTCCGTGTACACTTCGCCACGATTCAGCAATTCATGATCGAACTTGAGGCCCGAGAACCACAACTGGATCGTCTTCGGCAGGAGGAGGAACGGTTCACCAGTGTGCTCAGCACAGTGACGATGTCCAACAAGTCGCCGACCAAGGAGATGAGTGACCTGAAGATGAGCAGTGAGTGGTTTTTTATCCGGTCCTAAGTAGTTAGTAACAATTCCAACAACTGTGACTGGTTGAATGTGTCTGGACACATTTGAAGCATGCAAATGCAGTCCGAAATTGGGTCCATCTTCTCTAGGGCTCTGTAAATTTAGCAAAAAACCCTGGGTTTATTCAAAATTTTCTGAGGCCGGGAACTCTCGAAGCTGAGATGAGGCTTAACTCTTTGCGTGTGAACAACTAAAGATCAGAAATAGAAAAAGAAAAAATGGAAATGTTGAATGATTTTCGGTTAAAGACATTAAATATATATCACTCAGAGCAATATAAGCAGTATTACTAAGGTAGTGTTAAATTATGATATACATGCATATACATATATCTTATTTACGCTACACAAAACTGTTCAAAGACTTTGACTCAGGTTTGTATCTCATACGTCATAGAATATGATTTCGATGACTCGTGGGCCCTGGATGCTATCGACGTCCTTGTTGGTAGGAGTCTAGTCTTAATGACAAAAATGGAGAGCAGTTTTGCCGAACGGCAAATGCCAACAGTCCCTGTATAGTTGCAAATGTGCTTTACAAATTCTTCCCCGAGAATTTCAATATGTATTTGTGCCTTATTTTTGAAAATAATGACATGAAAAAGTGGGGGGGTTGCTTAGTTCAAGAATCACTTTTAGTTTATAAATTATCGGATGGGTGTAGAGATGACTACTTATCCACGTTGCAGCACGACAAAGAGTGTTTAGATGAGCTTTTATACTTACTGATTCAATGCATCCTTAAATTAGAAAAATATGTCCTAATTAGTAAGGAGGAACGTGTATAGAAAATTAATAAAGGCAAATTAAGGTAATAGTAATGAATGCAATGATAAATATATATCTACATCTCGCGGATGTTATTTACCAGGATCAGGAGATGAGAGGATTAAACAAAATTTTAGTTGAGGACCACCATTTCTTAGGTTTTATTGACAACCATTTGAGGAAGCTAGAAGACAGGAGGAAGGGATCAGTCTACTAGAGTCTTGGTTTTCGAAATAGATATACCAATTACTGAAGGGGGACGCTTCTTCCATCTTTTCAAGTTCCTTTGAAATCTGCACTTTGATTGTTCGGCCATCTTATACTTTCGTCTTTATCGCCCTAAGGTGTCCGGAGAGCTGTTACCTTCAGTTGTGACAAGCATAAAGATGAAACTTGGTGGCATATAATCGTTTTCGTCTCCCTGTACGTATAAGAGAACAACTTTCTCGACTGAGTTTCCGTTACAAATCAGCGTATAGACATATAAGTTGTGTTTCTCCACTGTGACCAACTCGATCATCGGATGTTTAGTCACCTTATTTTCTTTTTTAAAGGGTTGACTGACAATTTTTAGCACTACTAACTCA